AGGTTCCGATTTACATTATTATTTTTTCAAGCTTTCAGGTTCCGATTTACATTATTATTTTTTCAAGCTCTCATCTTCCTATGTATTTTATTTTTCTCTATCAGTCAAAAGTTTCATACATAATGAAAATTAATAATAATTTTTTGTTTTTTTCTCTCTACAAACGAATTCTCCATTCCAGGAGACTAATTGCTTGAGTTGGGATTGGCTGGTCACCACATTCAACTCAACTGGGACTTCCGGTTTACGTGATATCACACGTCCTACTATATATTGCATTGCACAGGCTAAAGGTCACCCTTTGTTCTCCCGAAGAAGAATAGTCAATTATTCAAACGCATTCGAGTTTTGGGTCCTTATTTTAAGTTTATTACACTTTATATGTGATCCTTTGTGCTAACTCTTATCAAGATTGCATTACCTAGTAATACTATTCCCACCATTAAGTAAGAAAAAGTTGATGCTTCAACACTATCATTTCCCTTAACAATCTTAAACACCTCAATCATATCCCCCTCTATCTGTTCTCTTTTTCAATGAAAAACAATTTCAGAGATATTAAGCTATTTTCATATAACAATCATTCCATCCCAAGTATCATCCTAACAGCCATACTCTGAACCATTTCCAACAATTCAATGTCCTTTCTGAGATAAGGAGCCTAAGACTGAATACAATATTCCAAATGTGACCTAACCGGAAATCTATACAATGAAATTATAACCACTTTAGATTTGAATTCAATATTTCTGTAGATACAGCCCAAAGTCATATTTGCTCTAGCACTAGCAACAGCACACTGCTTGGATGGCTAAAGAGACTGAACAACTAGAACACCAATATCCTTTTCTTCCATAATACTGTTAAAGTAATTCCCATCAAAATTATAACCAGAATGCTTATAAATAAATCCTAAAATTCTCTTATCTGTACAACTAGCAACAGAGAACCTTGACTGGGGCATAATAAAATTCAACACTGAAAAGTGTAAAATAGTGCAATAGGGACTAGTAATTTGTATAGGGCTTACTGTGTGAGAAAGGTAATAACGTTGAAAGAAAACAGATACTCAGTGATAAAAGCCTGAACCCTTCAGCTACATTTTTAGCAATGATGAAAAAACAAATATATCCATGATATTTGTTGATATTATGTTTAAATCTAATAAGAAGTTTACTGGGTCATTCTTTATGAGTGGTGAGGTGTCACGTGAAAAAGTTTAGTCCTCTTTAACCCATGACTGCAGCTGCTCTAAACACACTCAGAATTTTTGCAAACCATACACCATATAGAGGCAAACCATAACCTATATAGCAAATCAGCAGTCAATGGGTTAAAACAGAGGATTTCATCATGATAGAAAAGGTACAGAGATAGACTGCCAAAATGACATTCTATTTACAAAACTTGAGCTTCCAAAAAGAAAAACAATTTGACAGACTATATGTGCAATTTGTTTAAATGAAACATCTGTTTGAACAGATATACACACACATGTGAAGGGCTATGATTTACTTTAATCATTGGATTAAACTTTCAATTTTTCTTATATTCTTCAGACTTATTCATATAAAAAAACACATTAAAAACTTGTGTACAACTGAAGCCGTGTTTATTTCTCATAAACAAAATGCCAATGAAAATCTCTTAACTATTAATATTATCTTTGATATAGGCTTTTTCTTAAATTTTCAATAATAATAAGTGTTTCTGTAGGCAACATGTCTTGTAATATTCCCATCAATATCAACAACCTGATTAGGCAGCATACAGAAAATGCCAATAAGCATTTTCTCCTTTATTTACTAGGCATCTCAACCCAAAATTGAAACTTTTCTTTAAACTTTCAATGATACAACTTTTCTCATAGGTTTTCTGTTTATGTCCAATAAAAAAAAAATTACTTTCCCGTTTATTAACATTTTCTACACAAATATCTTAAAGCTTTCCAAAATAAAATCTTCATTTAACTAAGATTTAGTTATATCAATGATATCTAACATGCTAACAAACAATTTATCAAAAAACATCTAGAATTAGAATAAAAGAAATTACTCTTATTTTCAATTATCCTATCCTGAAGAAGACCTTAGTATTTAATAACTCTTCAGATCTTCCATTACTAATAGTATTAGCTCCAATATGCATTAAAAATATAATCATAGTTCTTGTCACTAAAATATCTTCTCTCTTCAGATGTTAAAATCTAGTTTCTTCCATGCACTGCTCAATAAACAAATGTTTTAGAATCCTTAGTTAGAAAATTCTCTAATACATGAACTTCAGAATTCTTGCCCTCTGCAACTTTGTCAAAAGCTACCTCTACAGATTTATATGATGACTTACATCCTTAGTTCTAGACCTTGTTCAACTATGCACCTTAGTAAACCTGTTTTTCTTCTCTCTGAAAAGCAATCTCAGCTTAAGGTTTTCTTTTTTTTTCTTATTTGTGTAACTTCCTCACCCAAACAGCCTCTTTCGGTCATTACTTCTGCTATTTTCTCTATAGCAGAAGCAAATTTTTCTTTCAACATACCAGCTTAACCTACTATTTTAAACATATCACCTTTATATATATATATTAACTCTGACACCACTTTTCTATGATACACATCAAAAAAGTTAATGTGTTTGATGTTTAGAATATTTCTTTCTAGCAGAGGCCTAATTTTGGACCTAATGTGATTGCTTGCAAGTGATCACACAAACTATGTTGTTTACATTAACAAGAGGAAATATTAAGCAGGTCTCTCATTAAAAGCTGTCAACAAAAGGTGTAGACCCTTATCCCCTTTCTCTCAACACTACTACTACTACTAGATCCTCAATATTCTTATGTACATCTCAGCCCACATATAAACACCCATTCTTAAATTCATGCTGCTGCATATAAACTGGTAAAAAAAAAGCAAAAAGCCTACTTTATATTAGGAAGATGGTGATAAATGGGGACAAAGTAACTAATAAGTATGGATCTGTTTTTGTATATTATGCATGCATTACTTAAATAGTCACTTAGGCAACAATGTATCCCTAATTTTTCTTTGGTTTTAATGCTGTTAGTAAGATTCATTCTGTGAAGAATAGTCCATGTTAAAAAAGATATAAAAGGTCATATTAAGCAAGCAGAATCAGGAAAAATTAGTTTCAGTACAGGAATATGTAGTCTACAAGGGATTTAAAAAGTGTGAAAGAATTAGCATTTTTCTGTGAGAGAAATACTGATATTTAAGATAGAGAATTCAGATTTGATTATGCAGTAGCTAAATAAATATCTACAACTTTCTGTTCATTAAATCTTTGGTGAAAAGTGATGAAAACAAGGGTTACAAGACCTATTTACAAAAGTAAGCCTAAGAAGGATATTATAACTTAGGGCTTACTTATAAGTTCTCCAATGCAAAGACAGGCTATTAAGCTGCTATCTGGTTTAGACCATTTTAGCTGAGAAATGATTATCTTGAACTGTTTTTCTACTTCTTGGGCAAAAAGTAGAGATGATGGTATTTACAACTGTTAGGAAGAGTGATAAACTGTCGATGGGAGATCAGGTTGGGAGGTAAAAAAAAACAATGATGAAAATGGAATGATTATATTAGAAATGATAAAGCTTTAAAAGCCCAGATCCAGATACAATGCATAATTAATAAATTATAAAATGACAAAACCAAATTAGAAAATATAAAGTAAAAGATTACCTATTCTATAAGTTGACCAAATGCATACAAAAATCACATATAAAATATTCCAATTTAAATAAAACAGCTAAAAATTAAAATAGAAAATTTCAACTGAATAACCTGGAGAAACATCCATCACATAAGCCTAAGTCAGAAGAGTAAATAGGCTTAACTCATATTAAGCCTACTTCCTACTGGTTAGTATAGTGTTATGTATTCATAACTTATCAATTTCAGAATACTTTCTCTGTAATTTCTCTTTTTCTGTAATTGTAGTTATAATTAATTACTTTGATTTATTGTTTACTTGGAATAATTACTCAGCTGACATATTTAAAAAATGTTAAACTGTCAGTTAGAAATAGTTTTAATTCAGCTCAATATCAATATCTTATTTTCAACTTTATTTTATTCTCAACTTTTTACATATTTCTAATTTCTATATAAATAACGTTTTAAGACTTAATATTAGCCAAATAGTGATACGAACTTAGACTTTATTACATTTGATTTATGGAGCTTTCACTAAGGCTCAATTAAATGTTTAATTTCAACAATTAATGATTAAGTTTAATTTTACATTAGCATAAACTTACTTTCACTTTAATAGGGCACCTTTATTTATTTTTTATTTTTATCCTTGTTTGATAATTACCTTAGTTACTCTGGTCAGAAACGAGAAATTACCAAAGGCCTAGCAGTTAATAGTCTAATTACTTAACATACGTTAACTGACTCGAGTCATAGTCACAGCTACCCAAATCAAAACACATATCCCAACTTCCAACCAAATGAACATAAGTTTTAACTAAGTAGAACCTCGCATATTTTTCTAAGTGGTGAGTGAATCTGAGCCGGACGACTGAGAGAAGACTGAAAATGAAATTTGAAACCTTGATTTTGTGTAATATAAAACGTTATTTACTATTACATATTTAAAATAAACTGCATAATAAGAAACTATGCAATTATTCATTTCCACTAAATTAACAAAAAAAGAGGGGTTTGTGAGAAAATTGAATGAAAACACTTACAAACTTAATTTTTCCTTGATAAACTTTTGCCCACCGTAATCCGCCTTCATCTCAAAACAGTAAACATTTATAACGCCCTCAAACGGAAAGGATTTACGTGTTAATAGATCGTGCACGTGCGTTCAAAATAAAATTCTTCACAAAAAATTAAGTACATTCATGGGTATTATAATTCCTTTAATGTATACAATTTATTTTGATTTAATTTTTTGTGAAGTAAGTATGTTTTAAACGTAAAATGCATTTCGTTAACTTAAACTATATCGCATGAATATCACACAACATAACGTACGTTTACAAAGAAAATTGCGAAAACTTTAAAATAAATCCGTGCTTTTTTATGTTGTTGTCTTTTTGAGAAAATAACATAATAAAAACATTGTTTTTTACCTCATTTTGTTATCTGTATTTCATATTTGTTGCTACTCAAATTTACAAGATTATCCGGGAAATCGATAGAATAAGGTGTGTGATTTCGTTGTGATATATTCTGAAGATAATAGAATGAGAGAGCATAAGTGTAATTGGAAAATAAATAAATAAACAAGTTAGGCTCCAGTTGGTGTTTTACCTTTCTGACAGGGTGATTAGCTTATGGAGTTTGTTGACGCAAACAACAGTAGATGTTTGTTTGTTTGTAGTTAAGCACTGAGCTGCACAATGGGCTATCTGTGCTCTGCCCACCACGGGTATGTAAACCCGGTCTCTAGCGTTGTAAGTCTGCAGTCATACCGCTGTGTCACTGGGGGGCTACAACAGTGGAAGCCACACTTCACATAAGTTTAAGTTTGTTTGTAGTTAAGCACAAAGCTACACAATAGATATCGAAACCCGGTTTCTAGTGGTATAAGTCCGCAGACATGTCGTTGTGCCACTGGGGGGCCACATGAGTTTAAGAAGAGAATTAATAATTTCCTGAAAAGCAAGAGGGAATCCTCAATAGCCGTAGCACTTGAAATTCTTTTAGGCAGGATTAGAGTAAATTAATCCATGAGACCATTTATTTCCGTTTTATTAGCTATATTTTTGTGCGTCAGAAATACCAAGCGTGGGGCACGTGTATACCTGATTCGGTTTTATTACTCATCAGGATCTCTACCAGCCTACCCTCAAATTGAAATTCTTTTAAGCAGGATTAGAATAAATTAATCTATGAGACCTTGGGCATGGTTAACTACACCAATTGAAACGTTTAGCCTCCCGAGTCCAAAACTGTAATTAGATCTCAAATGGGTCAAGAGATACGGAGCTATGAGTTAAAAGTTTGTACTTGAAAAAACAACAAAAAAAAAACAAACAAACTCATAGCTATGCTATGAGCTGCGGCTAATAAAGGGAGCCACAGGTTTAAATATTTACTTTTCTTGTTAGTGAGTGTGAAAGGATAGTCTTGAAAGACCATATGGTACTTTGTTGTAAGTAAATTGTTGTGATATTTCAAAATTTTTGGTTTATTATGGTAAACGCTAACACAATTAAGTAAGCCTTATAAAGTTGTCTTATTTTATAATAAATAATAAAAAACTAAGAACAGTATATTCTGAAAGTTTTTTACCATATGTAAATTTCTCATTTCTTAATATATATATATATATATAAACTGATTCCATTTTATTCATACCTATTTTTAGATAAACAGAAAAAAATACAACTTGGAAGACGTGCTAGTGCAACCACATGATGTTTAAGTAAAAGCCTACTGGGTAACAAAAAAAAGTGAATTGTGATTCTTCGCCAGGCTATTTTAGTAACACAACGTTTAAAGCAAGCGTCCTTCGTTAAGTAAGGACGATTAAAACATCATGAAATGTTTTTTATTACAATTCCTCAGTGAAGCATCAATGTATGTCTTGTACACTTCCTACCCCACATAATAAACATCTATTGAAAAAGTGATTGCGTACAGTAATGTCTAATATGGCGAGGATGCCCAGATCAACCAAAAAGGTAAGCAAATGATATGGTGTTGTATTTCTGTAAAGGATAAAATCGTAAGTTACTGTCAAGTTATTTACATACTTCATAACACATTTCGCAATGGAATCTACGGTATGTTTCACTCAGTTTGAGTTTTTAGTTACCGCATGTTCCACCCTGCTGGTAATGCATCCTAATATTTAATTTGAAAGGACTCGTTATGATTTTGTGACAAAAAAAAATTGATGTTTTTATCTTAATAATTTTAGTTGAAAATATATAAAAGAGAAATGTAGCATAGAAAAAAAAATTGAGGTCCAAAATAATGATTCATTACATATTATGTATGTATTGTTGTAGGTGGTCCAATTCTTAAAAAAATTGTCAAATCTGAACAAATAACTCTTGAAATAGCATTAGCCTACTAATATTTAAGAAAACCATCTAATAAGTGAGTTTTTTTATTATCATTTCCGGTTTATTTAACGAAATTATGAGCCATTTTTATTTGAACACTTCATTTACTTCAATAGATTTTGACAGTTTTTCGTTAAATCTTATGTTTTAACAAATGGCGTCAACTTTTCATGGTGTTAATTTTATAAATATCCTTGTTAATTTTAATTACAAAAAATTAATAACATCGAATAATTTAGCTCCCTCTGTACCATGTTAATATAGCGATCAGAGATGCGTGGTATTCCATTGATCGAGTTAAAAAATCAATTGTTCTGTGTAGAACGGCCAGTAAAAATAATTAAAACATTATATCAAAATTAAAGGTCATTTGTATAATATAATTAGTAAAAGCATGGTATTTAAAAATACAAAAGTAAAACGTTTTTAAGTATGCTAAGGAAAGAAATATTACGCCTATAAATTAATTGAACTTCTTAGTACGGTTAAATAAACGGCTCAAAATGAAGTATTTGGTATGAAGCAGGAGACGGACAAAATAATCTTATTTTATTGTAACATAAACACGCATTATTTGCAGTTTAGCTAGAAAGTATTAATGATAAAAAGATATATAATATTGTCTGTAACATGTTACTGGCACTTTTTAACTAACCCTCAGTTTTCACACCTAGGAGTTTATGGGATATTTAACTGACATAATAATGACATGGAATGTTCATGAAGACCGCACTAAAGTTAAAACTTAATTGGTCGCAAAAAATATTAATTAGTTGCTATTTCAATTGTGAATGGTTTAAGTTTTGTTTGTTTGTTGTTTTTCGGAGAGGGGGTTCATGGAAATTTATTTGCAATAAATAATCATTACATAAAGAAGTAAAACATGTTAGCCCTACAACTTGCAAAATAGCATATCATTTAGTAAAAATACAAATATAATGAAAGTAATTAAATGAAATATGATGGGTGGTCCGGCAGAATATGTTTTACTATCTTTAGACCTCTGAAACCAAGTGTGAAATACATCAATGTGGTATGATATAATTGATAATCTTCGAAACAATATTTTTCATTTTTCAACCAAAACGAGAGTTACATTTACACTGAAATATTGTCCATCCTAAACAAACTTATTTATTAAGCTCAAGTGTATTCTAATTTGTTGCCCATCGATTACACCAGGGGTCACCAAACTTTTTTCACAGCGGGCCAGATAACTGAGAGAATGACGCATAACCATTTTGTTCAATACAATACAGTGAATACACAAAATATAAAGACAACAAACAT